AGCTAAGCAAGGCCAGTCCTGGTTGGAACTTGACCAAAGACCACCAATGAATATCAGCTCCTGTAGGCTATATTTCAGAAGAAGCAACTGACAAAATCACTTCTGAGTATTCCTTGCCCAAGCAAACCCTATGGAATTCACTGGGTCACCATGTTAATAGGCAACCTGAAGGCACACACACAGCAAACAATAGGTGATGTGCTTGTGATAAAATGGTTGGTTATTTCCCATCAATGTATTCATTATTTAGACTATTTTCCACTAAGCCATGGTAGAGATGAGTGTGAGCAACTCCTGAAGATCCCTCCTCTTTGAATCTTCATACAAGGGAAAGAAAAGTAAGTAATGCACAAGGTTTTCAACCTGACTTTTTCAACTATACAGGTTTGTTCTGCAAAAGAAATGGCAAAATATCTCTTCTCAAAGGAAGCTCTGAGAAGTTACTAGAGCGATAAAGAAGAAAACAAGTATTCTAAATGAATCTATAACTGCCATCCAAATACCTTAAATAACCAGGGTTTATGAATCAGCATGTAAGCCAGGAACAGCACTAACCTTCACTATTCAGTATCTACTGGCTATCAGTTCAAGCTAGGGCTCATTACAAGCTTTTGGTCCTGGTATTTAAGGCCTTGCACTCTAACCTTCCTCAGTATTTGGTAGTCATCTAGCATGGTATGTACCATCTAGAAACCTAACTATAGCCATGGGATTATTGATGGTTCTGTCAAGGTTGCGAGCCTTTCAGGACCTGGCCCTGCACTTGGGAAACAATCTCTGGCTGGAGCAGGGTCCTACCCGTTTTTGTAAAGCAGGGGTAGTCAACTTTTCCCCTTTAAGGGCCGAGGGACTTCAGCTCCCAGAATCCCAGGAGCTATTGGACAACATGGGACTATTGGCCAACATGGCTGAGGCTTCTAGAAGCTGAAGTCCCTCGGCCCTTAAAGGGGAAAGGTTGCCTACCCCTGTTGTAAAGGGCTGAAGACCTTCCTCTTTAATTTGCCAGATTAAGCTGCTCAGTGTACCCTAAAGCTCCCAAGTTGAGCAGCAACTGGTGTAGTGAGGATTTTACCTTTAGCATATGATAGTGTTTTTTTCACTGTTTTGTCCTTGATTATATACATATATGTTTGGTGTTTTGCCCTTTTGCAAAAGGGCGCTATAAATAAACGTTATTATTCTATTAATATTAGTATTCAAATCAAGACTGATCACCTTTCTTTATAAAATTGGTTTAGCTAGGAGAGCTTAATATTGAACAGAAACTACTTATACTGATACAATTAAACATTAGTCCCAATTTTCCCTCTTCCAAGATTATATGTAGATGGTTTACTTAAGTGCTCCCATTACTAAGTAGACACAAATACTTAAAAGTAGGAGATACTCCAGGTCAGGAGTAAATCTGGAAACATCTTACCTCTGTATCCCAGGAATCCTGAAAAACAGCATTTCGGCTACTGCGTTTTGTTTGTGGTATGGGCCCATCCTCTTCTGTACCATTTCGTCTCCTCTTTCTGAAGCAAGCAATGGAAGAACAGAAGAAAGATCTTCGTTGGCATACCAAATATACTATCAATTAATGTACACACTGTAAATACTCCTAACAGTTTTCTCTGAAGATGCTAGCCACAGATGCTGGCGAAACGTCAGAAAGAAACTCTTCTAGAACATGGTCACACAGCCCGAAAAAACCCACAAAAAATCTATGGATGCCGGCCATGAAAGCCTACGACTTCACTCCTAACAAGCCTGTTTTACAACGTTTAGATTTTTCTTCATTTTACTACCCATTGTTAGTAAAGAATTGAATATGAAACCCAACAGAAACTGGTATCAAAAATGCACATGAGTGTATTGATTAGAACAACTCTTTTTACACCTTTTTCCTTCTATTATTCTATGCAAGAGTGGAAGGAAATTCTTTGACAGAATAATCGCCTGATATATGAACCTGTTCTATTCTGTTTAAATATAAATTCAAGAGTCCTCTAAGCAACAACCATTTCTACAAATACGACTGACTATTCCAAATGACAAAGAGCGACATTAAAAAAGAAACAGTCATGTTGTTCAGGCTCATGGTCTTCAACTAGAGAACAGTATTCATTTTACTTATCCAGCTATCTTACCTAGTAAGGGTCAAATCAGGTTGTAGAAAACATTCTGAACCCAACACAGAAAACTTTTGGGGGGGAATCACAACATTTTGTTACTATAGGAATACAATATCTGCATGGATATCTTCATTTTGCCTGAAGGGCTTAGATCTGTCATCATGTAGGGCAGCCACAATAAAGCAAAATGCACCAACTACACCATTCTGTGTATTATTCGGGAAGCAGATCCACTGAGAAATGATATTCTGCACAATAATATGACTTCAAGCTTTTTGAAAAAATATTTTAAGGGGATGGTTCCAATGCAACTTTTTTTTAAAAAAAAATCATTTTTATTAAACTTATAAACACAAACAAATTTTATCCCTTTTGCTAATACTTATTTTTTATTGTTAGGTGCCCTCGAACTGACCTCAATTCATGGCAACCTTGTGTATGAGACATCTCCAAACCCCCTTATCTGCCACTACTCTGCTTAGGTCTTGTAGATTCAGGCCTGTGACCTCCTTAACTGAGTCTAGCCATCTAGACCAACTGAGTCTAGCACCTGGTCCACCGGCCCCTGTCGACTGGCCCCTGCCACCATGTGTGCTTCTGCCGCGCACATCACGACTGCCATTTTCTTTGCCAAAATGGTGGCCGCAACTTGTTTGCGCATGCACAGTGGCAGCAAACACATTTGGCAAACAAAATGGTGGCGGCGGCACATGCGACGGGGGTTGGCGGAGGCCGGTGGGGGCCGCGCGCGTTACCATTCCCCCCCTCCCTGGCCCGGCAGAAGACCTGGGGACCAGCGACCGGCCCCAGGTAAGTAAACCTTGCCGACCCCTGATCTAGACTCTGAAGTCTAGTCTTTCTCTCTTTCTACTACCTCCTTCCGTTTCTAGCATTACTATCTTTTGCAATGAGTCATGCCTTCTCATGATGTGACCAACCTACCAATCCTACTGCGGAAAAACTTCTATTAGGTCACATTGGCTTTCCTCAAAAATGCACCAGCGATGACAAGGACCAAAAATGGACCTCAAGCAGCTTTCTTCCAGATTATTACCTAAAGGTTATTATTGTTAACTACCGTCAAGTCGACTTGAATAAGAGACATACAAGCCACTCCATCATGAACAGCTCTTGCAGACTC